TTGAATTTTGAAAAGAAATAAATAAATTTTTTAAGAATTTTTTTTTTTTTTTTTACTTTTTGGCAATGAAAAAAATTTTTATAATCAATTGTGGAAAAAATTATCACTTTAATGAACAATTTTCATGTAAAACAAAATCAAACGAACACACTATTTTTTGGGCCACATTATTTTTTTCATTCTTCTATTCATTTTCAACCAGACATTCTTCAATAAAATAATATTTTTCATCACATCAATAGATTTTCCTTCTTTTTTAACCACACATTCCTCATCAATCTACTGTTACAAAATACATTCTTTCAAAAAAATGTGGCTCAAACACATCCTAAATTAACAATTCCCTACAAAATAATTTCTAGGCAATTATTTTCCCTAAAATTCATTTTCTTTCCATCCATTTTCCACAATTACAATTAAACGGATCCTAAATGATAGGTCGAAAAGTTCAGTATCAAGAAATGAAGATTAGGGATTGATTGTGCAAGGAGACTATTGGCTGGGGATGATTTTTTAAAAAAAACTCAACAGGTAAAAGTAAGTGAATTACTTCAATATTTAGGGTTGTTTGATTGCAAATGTAGAATTTGAGTGGAAAGAAGAAAGAAAATGAATTAAAAGGAATTGAATTGCTTAGAATTTGTTTTGCTGAAAATTGTAATTAATTGTGTTTAATTGATATAATTTTTCACATATAAAATGTTGAAAGAATGATGTCCGTTTGACTTCGTTTTTAATTAAAATTGTCCACTAAAGTGATAACTTTTTTTACATTATGTCTATAATTTGTTCCAATTGTTAACCTGGAAAGCCATTTCCCACCAAAATGGTGAGAATTCATTTTCATCAAAACCATGGAAATTGTCACCGTGTGAAGCCAACCAAGAAAATCAATTCGAAGGAAAAAAATTGCCATCAAATAATGCTAAAGTGAAAGATGAAATTTGTTTTCCATTTTTCGTGGAAAATTTTGCACAGAACATGGACTTACTTTCAAAATAAAATTTTATCTCAACAAAACAGGTTATTAGTATGCTAAATGAAGAGAGATGGAGATGGGGAGGGTAAATGGGAGGGAACTGTGAAGGCACTTTATCATTAAGTGGTAAAAAATCAAATTGGACTTGAAGTTCAAGGAAAAAATTGAAAATTGATTCAAAATTTGGTTCGATTATATACTAAAGATGCCTCATAAAAATCATTGGCAAAATTCCGTGAGGTTGAATCCACCGTGAGATGATCATGTCTATGAATTTTGTTCCTTTTGGAATTTAGTCCTTGACCTTCTACATTCGGATTCAATGTATATGTAAAGTTAAAAAAGTAATTGGGAATGTTTGGCTAAGCTCAGGCACAGGTAAAATAAAAGATAATCTATATATGGATAAGTTGTTTTTTAACTTTTAAGTAAAAGAATAACTCGTCTTAAGCATTCATTTAAATTGATTCACTTTTTATTCACATATTTAGTTGAATCTCCAATTATTACTCACTTATTTATCACTCATTTTTATTTATTTACAATTTAAATTGATTATGATCGACTCCTAAAACATGTTTTTATTGTTAGAACCTGCTTATACGGATAACAACCTTTTTTTATAACAATTTTGTTTTTTAAAAAAGATACATGAATACAAATTATGAGCACGTTTGGCAAGTTAATAAATTGAGGATAATCAACACATAATACAAAAAACGTTCGAATTATATAAGCGATATTTCTAAAGAATACTTGATGACGATTTATTGGATTTTAAAAAAGTTTATGAGGTGTGGAAGTGGTAAACGTTCCAACCAGACAAGTTATGCTTCAGAGTTTCACCTTCAAATTAAAACCTATTTTTTGCACAGTAAATGTTTGAATTAGAAAAATGATACTTCTAAAAAAAATTATTGGGGATGCTTTATTAGATTTTAAAGATGTTGATGGGGGTCGTTGAAATCACATTTCACATATGGTGATTTTGATGAGTTAAATTTTGTTAAGTTGCAATTTTTTGAACATATATAATGTAAAACGTGGAATTTTTGTGCCAACATTAGAAATGAAGGGAACAAAATATGACGAATGATGAATGAAGTGCAACATCTCAAAGATAAGTGACCATTATGAAGCATTTTGAAATTCGATGAGTAAACTGTGATCAAATATAAGTTAGATGAGTAATGAAACAATGATTTTGTTGATTTGTAATTTTTTAATGGCCATAACTTGTCACGTTAGATTTCGTTAGTCATGTCAGCGAATAAGGTAACGAATTTTTGAGGGTGATGGACGGAGTGCAAACAGATAAAGTTTAGTGAGCACTGTGAAATACTTTAAAGTTCAGTGAGTAAATCGTAATCACAATTAAGTTGAGTTATTATTGAATTATTTACTCCTCAAAAATCAGTGTTTAAAACAACGTCTCTCCGAGAAAAAAAGCCCACCAAACAGGGCAATAATATTGTTCCATCCATTTCCTGATTTCCTCCTTCCCCTCTTAATTGAAATGCCCAATTTTATTAAAGCTTCAGTTTAAAGTGAATATCAGTAAATCACTCTTGAAAAGGTCGAGAAATCAATTTTGTTAATATTCATAGTTTCTATCCTTTTCTGATTAAAGAGAGGGGATTTTTTTATAGCTGTAATTGTGAAGCTATGGAAGTGGAATTGGTTACCGATGGGATGTCGGAGGATGAAAATTATGTTGCCGATGATATTAACGTTGATGTAAGTTTCAATTTCTTATTTTTGTTTTAATTTTTTAAACCTTTCTATATCTTTTACTGAATAAAAATGTTGCTGATTGCTTAAAATTTGTTATTTCAAAATTGAAGCTTCAGATTTGCCTGTTTGAAAGATGATATTGTGAATATTACGATATGAATTTTACTTCATCGTAACATCTTCTTTCTTAGTAATGAAAGTGCATTTTCGTTCAAATATTATCAAATTTAAATGGTAATTTTTATTTCCGTAATTTAATTTTAGATGGACGGGAAATAAACAGAAAAAGTCAACACATAAAAATTAAAATGAAGGGTTAATGTGAAGTACAGAAAAAACTTAGTTCAGCATATATTAAGTAATATATAGTTGTGGATTTTATACTTGTTAGGAAATAAATGAGTTATCACATTCCACTTTTGATTGCCTGAATATATCATCTTTATAAGGTGACAAGTTGAATGGTTTGATTTTTGGCGTTCTGAAATCTCAGATTAGGGTTTGGCTAGGTATATTTATTTGCATATACATTATATATTATTCTTCTGTCACTTGTTGTATTTGCAGGAATATTTGAACCTGGAGGGTGAAAGATGTGGGATTTGCATGGATGTTATAATCGACAGAGGCGTGCTAGATTGCTGCCAACATTGGTATGTATATGTTAGCATGATATGGTTTTCTCGTTACAGTTGGTCCTGTTTCTTCTTATTTTCGTATTGATTTTTTGAGTTACCATTGTTATTTTATTTTTCACCTTCTCTTGTTGCCAAATGTAGCTTGCTTCTCTGTTCTGCTTTATACTGATAGTTTATTGAAAGCCTCACTCCTTTTGAAGTGCTAGACAACTGTATCACGAAGCGTTTAATCACTTCTAAACTTCTAGAGTACACAGCCACTCGTTTGGAATTTATTTGAGTAAATCTTTATTACATAACTTGAAGGGAATGAAATAATGCAGCCTTTTCATATCTGTTACTGAAATTTAGGTGTAATTATATATTATTTTGCTGTATAATATCCTTCAAGTTGTGAAACCCTTCTGATTATTCTTGGTATAATTTTGATGCATGCGTGATTCTATACTTGTGTTAAGAAGGAGGTTGTTGCTTTTACCCATCTTCACCTTTTAGTTTGTTAAATTGGCGATGGCTAATTTAAATGCACTCTTTTGGTGTAAATTTATATTTATTTATCAGCAATGCTGCAGTGCCCGGTGATGTAAACTGCATCTTTTCCGCTGGGTATTAATGTTGCGTAAAAGTAAGATCATTCATCATTAATGGTGTTTAGTCCCTCGGTAAAGTTTTGTATTGAATCATTATTGTATGTACATATCCTTACAAAACTGTCTGTGAAGGCTTCTGATTTATTTAACAACTGAGTAGCTTATATGTAGTATATAATTAGCAGTGTGAGGAATATGCTTCAATGGAGCATTGAGCTAATGCCTGATTTTTGGCTAGTTTTTGAATTATAGCAGGTTAATTTGATGCTAATTTTAATTGGGTTACGTGGACTTGTCATTTAAATTTCAGGTTCTGTTTTGCATGCATTGACAACTGGGCTACCATCACAAGCCTATGCCCACTTTGCCAGAATGAGTTTCAACTGATAACATGTGTGCCTGTGAGTAACAAAAGTTGTTTGAATTTTTGGACCCTTCTCTAATCTTCATCATCATTTTGATGGCCTTGTATTCATACACATGGCTGCAAAGCCTGTGTGTGCTTCTTTTATCGTTGTGCACATGATGTGATTCTTAATGAGATTCTTAAACACTCAATATTTGATCTTTGAAATTCTTTTGAAATTATACGCTAATATCATAACTAAGAAATGGTTACTTATGCATATCGTGGTTAATGAAGGTATATGATACAATTGGTAACAAGACTGATGAGGAATCATATCAAAGGTAAGCACTAATGACTTTGTTTTAGCTATTTTGTTCTAATATTATATGGTCTTTGCATTTCACGCTTCCAATAATGGTCTATTGAGTAATAGGAAGAGATTTGGTGCATAGAGTAGCCATTTGTTCTGTTGGAGGAAGTGTGAAGGAGAACATTTCTCTGTCTCTGACTCCATGCAATCCCTTTGGTCCAAAAATGGGAGGAAAAGAGAACACTATGAGGAATTTTGGTCATTACCCTCATACCCTTGTGACCACTTATTTTTTGGAGGTCAAAAGATATAATGCTCAAAGTTGATTCGTCAGTAAATGTTAGTGATACACGGGCTGTCCCTTGAACTCTATCCCATACATTACCCTGATTAGAATATAGGGAAGTAACAACCTAATCAAGAAACCATGAAATAATATAGAGAAACAGAGCACTGAAAGACCCAAGAAACTGCTCTCAACCAACCCCATGGTGAATAGCCTCATGTAGATTGTTTCCCTCTATAGCTCAAGTCATGTTTTATGTTTAATAACTTCATGCATAGCTGCATTTCTTGCTTAAGAAACATGAACAGAGTATCACGTAGCACTGCTTTTCTTGAAATACAAATCTTTCTCTGTGTAGACAAAATTCAAATGAGTAAAACGGACTTATGAGGCCTTTTTTTGGGATATCCTCAAGCATTAACTTTAGGGGTGACATATATCCAATTCCACTTTTTGACCCACTTATGCACAACAGGAAGTGACCATATTTAGCCTTAGGGAGACAAAATTGCAGAGCATCAAATGAAAAAAGCGTGCTGTTGAAGACCAGGAGTATATATGTTGTAACCATTGTTTGTACCAAGGGAAGACAAAGGAAAGTAGAGAGAAAAATGAAATTGACAGATTGTTCAATATCTTACCTGGTTAAGGTCTTTCTCGTTTTCAAATTGGTATCTTATGTTGGTTCTCATCCAATAATTTTTGGTGCCTTATGTAAAACTGGAGAATTTCTGCTAATTATTCAAAATTTATCTTAGATCACTTTGTTAAGATGGAAAAGACTATTTTATAAAATGTAACAATTATATAATTTAGGCTTAAAAGAATCTAATAATCTGAGTAAGAGGTTGAATTGCCAAACTTTGTTAATGCTTCTCTTCAATGACGTGAAAAATCTCTATGTATCTCAATAACAAAAGAGCATCTTCAAATGTGAATGCTTTATTTACCTTCTTTTGTCTCATCTGTGCAGAGATGATGATTGGAGCATTGAAGGGAAAAACAACACCCTTTCTTTTCCATCATACTATATTGATGAAAATGTAAGTTTTATGAAGTTCCATGATGCTTATGAAATTGCAATTGTATTCTACAATATGGCACCCTGGCCTGCTGTTGCATCATTCTAGTCTACATATGATGCTTATGTTGAGCAAATTTTGTATGTGCATGTATTTTTTTTTTTATTCTTATTGTTTTCGTACTTGAGGGTGTTAATTATCCTGCACCTTTAACTAAATGCCTAGGACTCCTTACAAATTGTCATTGAGCTCCTGTGTTTGGGTGCATCTGTGAGTGCTCATGCACTGATGGAGAGCATTGTTTCTGTCATTTTGTCAGTTAATATAGAAGCAGTATTTGATAGTCTTCCTTTATATAACATGAATTAAGGGATTTATTACCTGGGATGGGGAAACTTAATTGATTGCTATTAGCCTTTTGTGGCATAATAAAGTTTTGAGGGAAGAATTTTTTCATTAGAATGGAAATTCTCTAGGGACATGATCTGTTTTAACTAAATAATGACCTAACATGGTTCCCTCAAGGTCACTTGTTTCTTCCCCTGGGGGTTGGTGGGGTCACTATGCTTGTGCTGTTCTTGCATAATCCTGATACTTTTGGTTTCTATTTCTCTCAAATTCACTTGTATTTTTCAAGTTAAAGTTATCATGCAATTCAAGCACGTTTTGTCTCTTATAGGCAGTTGTGTGCTTGGACGGAGATGACTGCAAAATTCGGAATGGATTGATTGCGATTGAAGAAGATTCAGATATTGATACATCCATTGCTTGCGACTCATGTGATAAATGGTAATTTTGAATGTAGATGACCCATCGTTTATTTTTATTTTTTGATAGGATATATAAACTGAAATTAGTTTTTTTTTTTTCGAGAAATTAGTGCACCTTGTATTGAAGTACATTTTTGTTGCCTTCACATAGGAGTCTTGATACAGTACCTTAGAATTATTTTAACTTGGTACTAAGTTGTAGTTGGAAAGACAGTCCTTTCTTTGTTATAAGAACCACTGCAAAGTTTTCTAGATCTTTTATATGGGTTTGGTCTCTGTTGCACAGACATTTCAACTAGGGTGACGTGCCCGTGTCGGATACGTATTTTGAACACTCTATCATAGTCATTTTTCTTTTTTATCAGAATTATTAAATATTTTTAACTCAAAGTTATTATTAAATAACAAATAGGTACTCATATTTAAAAGATTTGAACAAGAAAAATTAAAACCACTATATAACTAAATTTAACCTATATAAAGGAGGAATTTTAAAAAATTTAATTACAATTTAGTCAGCTATAATCAATTTTACTTAATTGCATTCGAGAGGTCAGGAACTCTGAGAAATATGTTTAGAATCTAAAGACGGTGTTTGATATTCCACCTCATACAACTGCTATTTCTTTTTACATATTCCTTTCCCACTTTTTTATTTTATTTATTTATTTGAGAAGTAAAACAATTTTTTTTTAAAGATTAGGTTTATACCGATCAATTTTTAGTTGTCGCTCGTTGCTTAATAAATATCTCAATAAAAGTGGTAATTCTATCACCACATTTATCTTAGCATTAGGCATGGCCTCCTAACTATCATGATTTCTATAATGAAGGCAAAGTTTTACCTAGCCCGAAAGAATCCTTGGCTAATATTCACTCATCGTAGAATGTCTCTTTGTGAAGGTTTCCTTTGTGCATTTTTAAAATCTGCTCTAGTGTTTTTCTAATTGCTTCTTATATTCATGCGATCAGGTATCATGCTTTTTGTGTGGGATTTGATCCTGAAGCCACGTGTGAGAACTCCTGGCTCTGTCCAAGGTTGGTGATTTTCATCTGCGTGTTGTTCTCCATAGACCAAAGCAATCCCTTATTATACAGAGAGTATACAATTTCTTTTGTGTGCCTTTTAGTATAGAATAAGTTAAAACAGAGCAGTTTGAGGAGTTGTGGGGACTATTTCTCAAATGTATGGTGACTGTCCCTGTTGTTCAAATTTTATAATCCTATAAAGCATCTATTCGTCAAAGGAGGAAAGAGTTTTGACACGGAAAAAATTATCTGATAAGGATGATACAACTGTATGTCTAATTAATGGCTTTTCTCTGTTACAAGATGCACTTGCTTCATTTTTAGTGATGGGTTGCTTATTGTTATATTCTCGTCATTTTCTGTTTGTGATGATGCAGGTGTGTAGTGGATATGCCACAGAAGTTAGTTGAGGTTTCAGTATTAAGTTCAAGCAACAAGCATGATGATAGAAGCCTCACTAGTGATTGTTCGATGGAAGCTTCTTTAGCAGGAAGAGTATCGATATCTGTAGCTGATGTTGGGGAGACAGCTGTAGTCGTCTCACTAGTTGACGGAAACCGGAGGAGTCAAGAATTAAGTGTCCCAGCCTTACACAGAAAGGACACAGAAAACACATTTATATCCAGTTCCGTAGCTGATATGCCAAAGTTGGAAGCATCATCGAGCAATAGTGCTTGCACAGTACCAAACTCCGGGGGCCAAGAACTAGAACTTTACCTAAATACGAATGATGAAGAGATAAGAAGACCAAGATGTTTGATTAACAAATTGTCTGATTCTGGTTTAGATTGTAACTTTGGTTTATCAGTGGATTCATCTACTGCTGGTAATTGTGTCCATGAAGTTTTACTCATTTGATTCTATTCTTATTTGAAAGTCTATCTTAAGATAGCTGAAGATTCTGTTTTCAGTGTATGTCACGTGTTTGCCTTATCTATACTTTCAGTCGACGTGATGGACAATAAAAATGCTGAAGATCAAGTGCCTGGATATGTGGAACTGAAGAATAGTTCAGAGGAATGTCTTTTACCAGGTATAAGAGTGAGCGAGCCAATAAATTACTTCTCATGGGTATTTCTTGAGCAATGAGTATTCAGTATTTGTAAGGAATTGAATTTGATGCATTCTGCAATAAATCTAAGATAATCTTATTGTTAGTTCTTGCCTTTCCATTCGGTGATTTCAGCTGACAACTTGATGCCAGATAATAAGGAAATGCTTTCAGTTGACAATGCAATATCAGATGCAAGAAATAATGTGGTTGGAATTAGTGGTTCTAAGAGAAAGCATAGAGATAGCAGGTTGTTACAGTTAGTCAAGCTTATCTTTTTTAGTTCTCCCCATGTATTATGCTTTAAATGTTGTTGGATTCCCGAAATACTATGTTCCTAATGTTGCTCATGCTTTAAATCCATGATAGTTGTTAGTTTAATATGCTCATTTCAAGTGGGCAAAGAAACTCTTGCAGGTGTGGCAAGACATTGATGCTGGATTTTTCTGTGCTTACATGATATGTTGAATGAAGTTTTATTTGACTTAAAATTCTGTAAATAGTCCCATAAAAAGCTCTTTTAAGTAACTACTTTTGCTAAAAGTAACTTTTAGTTCACAACTTACTTTTCAATAAGAACTACACTTTTTGGGCTTAGCCGGACGTGCTCTAAGCCTTTACATTTCAAATGGTACTACCTTTTTGTAGGATTCCGATTGTGCTCTAAATCCAATATTGACCACAAGGATTCAGGTGACCATGCTTTCTTGGCTGTAAGAAGAAAAAGTAAAACGCAGATTATATGAATATTTCCTTGTATGTAGTGCTAAATGTGAACCATCTGTTAGAATATTTGTCTTCCTGGCAATACTCAGTAAACTGAAAAGCATCATTCACAAATTTTATATTCATTTTCATTCTGAGAGAACATCTAAATTATGAACTGTGTGGCTATGTACATTTAAAATTATTTTGAATTAATACACGAAGTATGCCTTAGACATAAAATGTATTTTTTCAGTCAAGTTGGCTTCTGGTGGTTGGATTAATGTTATAGAATTTTATTAATGTAATCTGTTCATAAATACATTCAGAAACTGAATGTATGTAAGGCCACTTTTTTTCATGGTACAGCATCGAGTAGCATGGTGTATAGGTTGATGCGTCTTTCTTTTCCTGACTATAGGTTCATGGAGTTATTCTGGAGTGCCATGATGCCTCTTTGCATGCAAATCTTCACCTCATTAGATTTTCCTATCTAAACTGAACTCCTAATGTTCTTTTGGCCTAAATTCTTATGAACAAAATTTTCTATGTATATTTTCCTTTTTCATTCCATTTACTTAGCTTCTTCGTTATCCACCATTGTGATGCTCATAGAAATGCTGAGGATGGAGAAAGAAAAGTTAGAACTGAGGCTAAATGTGCTCTGAAGAAAGTCAAAGCTGACAGAAACAGAGGGCAGATTTTTTTGAAGGACCAAGCTGATGAATCTGTTTTAGAAGACCCCAAAACAGTAGTTTCTAGTTTGAGCGCTGTCTCTGATGATAAAGAACCGAGATCTACAAAGGAAAATGGTAAGGCAGATATAATGTCTATAATTCAGGGAACAAATCGTAAATCTTCGAATCGGCTTGCTCATAAACACTCATCTAGCACGCTCTCCAAAGAAAGTGAAAATACTTCTGGTTTGAGGCTCAAAAAGATCATGAGGAGAGGTGGTGAGGACAAGGATTCATCTGTTCAAGTTCAAGAGCTTAGAAAAGAAATCAGAGAAGCTGTTCGTAACAGATCCTCGAAAGAGGTTGGACAAAACCTTTTTGATCCGAAACTTCTGGCCGCATTTAGGGCTGCTTTGGCAGGATCAGTGACTGAAACTGAAAGTAAGAAGCTGCCTCTGGATCTGAAGGCAAAGAAGTCACAGTTGCAGAAGGGAAAAGTACGTGAAAGTCTAACAAGAAAAATATATGGTATCAACGGAAGGCGAAGAAAAGCATGGACCCGGGATTGTGAAGTTGAATTTTGGAAACATCGCTGCTTGAAAACAACAAAATCTGAAAAAATTCAGACCTTGAAGTCAGTTCTTGGCCTCATAAGAAACGGATCTGATTACACGGAGGAACTTCCTGGGAACGATGGCGACAGAAGTGGTTCTATTCTTTCAAGATTGTATTTAGCAGATGCATCTGTTATGCCACGGAAGTGTGACATTGAGCCTGTGTCATCCCACAAATCCATTGCAGCACCTGCACTGAAAAAAGAAGATGGTTTAACTAAAAAATCATCAACTTCATCTCCCAGCGCCCACTCTTGCATGAATCCACCAAAGAATGATATTTTGTCGCAGGGTAAAATTCCTACAGTAGATACTAAAGGTACTAGAAGGAGTGCTATGGGCACTAAGGATGGAACTGCTTCTGGTAAAGTACATCAAATTAAATGCTCTGAAGGATCATCTAAGTCTACATTAAGTGGTGTGAAGGTACCTTCTGAGAAGGAAGCAGAGGGTAAATCTGACAACATGAAGTGCGATAAAAGGAAATGGGCTTTGGAAGTTCTGGCCAGAAAAACGGCAGTCTTAAGCAAAAATGCAGCACAAGAAAACAAAGAGGACAATTCCATGCTCAAAGGGAATTATCCTTTACTGGTATGTGGTAATTTTTATTTCTCCTAAACCTTTTTTCTTTTGTCCTGTAATTCTGCTACTGAAATCAGTGCCTTTGATTTGATTATTTGAGCAGGCTCAATTGCCGAAAGATATGTGGCCAGTTTTTGCACCCAGTCGTCACAACAAAATTCCAGTGTCAATTAGGCAGGTGAAGTATTTATCTGTTATCATGTCTCAGCAACATTCTGTTTCAACCCCCCTAGAATAATGTATCTTGAAAGTTGTGTCCTACTGAATAGGAAAAGTAATTTGATGGAAAAATGGGCAGTGAAAAGAGAGAATAATAGCCGGTGCAGAAATGATCACAGGGCTTTCATTTCATTTTTCTGATTGAATAAAATATCAATCGTTGAAATGGATTTTCCACCATCATCTCCATTGAGTTGGAAGATAATTTGGTCTTTGCTAGACCAAAAACTTGTCTGCTGACTTTTTCTTCTAGGAGTATCTCTAGAATAGATGCCGAAATCTAATTAGAGCATGTTTGGCAGATCGTATATAAAGTAAAAGTTAGTTTTGTACAACTTTTTGTTTTTACTCATTTTGAAAGTAAATTGTTTTAAATTAATTACTTACAGGTAAACACCGTAAACTTTTAAAGCTTAGTAAAATGTCTTGAAAGTCATTTCAGAACTACCACCCTTACTTTACTGCTTTAAAGAGTTGGAAGTCTCGCTTGCTAACCTAATTCTACTTTGTAGCATTGTGGAACTTTCCTCATTTCCTCGTACTGTTACCTCAGCATTGCTCGTTGTATCTCAAGTTCTCAACCTTTAGTTACATAACTTCTGCTCTAGTTTGATTGTTATTTTATTTTCACCTTACATTTCTCATGCTATCTCTGCCCATTTGATGAAATTCATGAAAATTTACTGGAATTCTACAGTTTTCTCTTGAAGCTCATCTTGATTTTTTCTGTTAGATTAGTGCTTATCTTTTAGCACTGGAGGTTGATATATTTGCCTTTTGTGAAACCGAAAGTTAAATCTGTTCAAATAGTTGGAAAATTTGACTTTCTTTGTTCACGGGTTCCGTTCTTAGTACAACAATAGAATATTATCCTTATGACAGATTATGATAGGTAGTTGTAATCTTCTTATTTTGGTTATTTTGAAATGTATAAATAGGGTCCTTCACTTTGTAATTCGGAAAAGAGAGAGAGTCGTACAAATTATCTGTTCCTCTTCATATTTCTGTCTCAATTACTTCTACACTGTAATCTCCAACATAAACACAATTGATCTAGAATTTGTTGTACAGGCTCAACTTTACCGATTGACAGAGCACTTTTTGACGAAAGCCAATATATCAGTCATTCGCAGAACTGCTGAAACAGAGTTGGCTGTTGCTGATGCGGTCAATATTGAAAAGGGGATCGCTGATAAGTCAAATAGCAAGCTAGTATATATGAATCTGTGCTCACAGGAGTTATTGCGTAGATCAGACAATGCCAGTTCAAGTAGAACTACAGAATCAAACCCTTCTCAGACTTCTGAATATTCTTCTGAAAGACTGGTAGAAGAAACCATTACTTGCTCCATGGAAATGGAGGTCAACGAAGCATTGAAAACCGCAGGGCTTATGCCCGATTCCCCTCCAAATAGTCCCAATTGCCCAAGTTTGTTGGAAGAAGACGAGGGGCCTGATAATGTATTTGAAGTTGACACTCATCCGGAACTTGATATTTATGGCGATTTCGAGTATAATTTGGAAGAGAATGACTTCATTGGTGCTGGTGCGTTAAAGATCTCTAAGCCACAGACTGAAGAGTCAAAAATCAAAGTCGTTTTCTCAACCCGTAGTCCCGAAAAATCAATTGGCACTGTGGGCCCCCTGAATCACGAGGGACCCACAAATCATGAAGCTTTGAACAATTCATCTTGCTTGCCCTTGTCTCAGACTTGTCTTGGAGGCTCAACTGTGGACGTTGGAACTGTCAACTGCCTTGATGAAAATATTTTGATCCATGGAGATGAAGAACCTTCTCCTGATGAATGTGAAGAACTCTATGGACCTGATAAAGAACCACTTATTCAAAAGTATCCTGAGACGGTAACAGTAGAACTGTATAAGCATATGATCAATCATGAGTTTCATGGAGAAAATGGAGATCACGAGGACAATCAAATGGAGAAGGAATCTGAAGCAGCTGGTGTGAGTTGTGTGGATAACCTTGAAGTTTCCAATGTTCCCCATGGCCCTTCTGTATCAAAAGAATCGCCCCGCCATTCACGAGCAAGAGAAAATGCTGCAAAGAAGGAGAAGATATCTAAGACTGATGTTGAGAAGCAATCAGAAAGCAATAACATTGTGTCAAAGAAGGTAAAAGATTATGCATTTTTCATCTGAATAAACTCATATTCCATGTTTGGTTAAGCTTCAAAAAAGTAGAAGTTACTTTTAACCTTTTATTTTCAAACATGTTTGGATATGTTACCTTTTTCTTCAAGTAAAAAAAGGCACTTATTTGGAAAATAACTCTTACCTTACTATCAAAAAAAGTAACTTAGTTTCAACTTTGATCAATTAAAAATTATTTATTTTAAAACTGCTTATATACTTTTCAGTAAAGTTTTTAACCTTAACCACCATTCTCTAGTCCGTAACTTACTTTTAAGTAAAAAGATTTACTTCATTTTAAGTAACTCTTACATTAATGTCAAAATAATGAACATGCTCATTTCCAACTTTGATCAATAGATAAATTTATTTTAGTTTAAAACTTATTCACTTGTAAAGTTGCTAAACTTACAAGCAAACTTTTTAAGCTTAGCCATATATGCTTCCCTTTTAAGTCATACTAGATTTACTTTATAAATTGTTCAAAAATCTTCTGTTTCCTGATGGGTTGATTATAATCTTCCATGTAGGTCGAATCCTACATAAAAGAACACATCAGACCACTGTGCAAGAGTGGTGTGATCACAGTCGAAGAATACAGGTGGGCCGTTGGAAAAACAACTGAGAAAGTTATGAAATACCACTCAAAAGATAAGAATGCAAATTTCCTCGTCAAGGAAGGGGAGAAAGTGAAGAAACTTGCTGAACAGTATGTTGAAGCTGCCCAGCAGAAGGCGAAAACTTAATCAGCACACGATTGGTATATTTTTCTGTGCCTCATCTTTTTCCTCTCTCATACCAGGTTTTATATTTATGCGAGTTTATGCACTTAACAAGTGAAAAAGCAATTGTAGATCAAATTGTTGGAAATTAAATTGAAGAGAGTTATAGATGCACTAGTGATATTATATAGAACCAGTTGTGATATTGCTTAGCAAAGTGCCTTCTAAAATTTTCTAATATGGTTTACATAGATACTCGTACCCACGAGGGCAAGTTTTGTAAACAATGCTGGACAGGAATGGAATATATAATGAGCAACATTTTAACTTCTTTTCTTTTGGAAACTTTTCAGCTGCGGTCCCCAAACATTACTGCCTGGAGCATTTAGCTCCCCAACTTTCAATTTTGGTGCAAGTCAGTCCTCCAGGATGAAATTCTGTCTAATGGTTGCTTCACCTGCATGTGACCACTTACGCCATGGGTATTATTGTCCACTCATAAAGAATAAAATGCTTATTGAAGTAAACGGTGTTGTTCCTGCATCTTCTTCCGTCAGGGTCATGAACTGGTAACAAGAATATGCTGTTCCTGCTTATCTCTGTGCCAGAATCAATCTCATCTTCTAGTTCACTTGGTGCCATTTCTCCAATTCTTACCCTTTCAATTTTTGTTTCTTCTCGGTCAAGTTCAGAAATGATTTTGGCCTTCCATTGTAGTTCAAATGGGCTGCCCCATATTCGAGTCTCTTCAAATTTTAAATCTTAATTTAGTGGTTAAATTTATCTGCCTCAACACCAGTCCCATGCAGTGTCAAATCGGGTTTCACAGGTTGTGGAGGAGCTGAAAAGAATCTGTTGTGTTAAAATTCCCTTGGAATGGACTGTGGTTGTCTGCAATCCGAGTTTGGTCATACTATTTTATGGCAGTGAGAGGAATCTGTCTCCAAAATTTGATCTTCTAAAATGAAATACACAGCAAGATTTTACTTCACTTGATTATTCGAAGCACAGTTGCCATAAGCTGCAATTCAAATGATGATTCAACATTAATAACTAGTTATCAGATGCAGTCATCCTCAGAATGCCGATTATCCTCGCTATTATTCTGAAGAAGAGAAGAAGCCATTTCCTATACCCATGAGCTATGACTGGCTGCCCTAGAGAGGCTGAGAAATAGTAAGGGCCAACATAAAAGAGCTTCCCCCCCTCCAAAAAGAGAGGGTGGTTCAAATGCTAATTACTGTTTGCAACAGCATACCAGATGCAAGAGTAATGTTGACCACCACTCTTAAGATGCTGTTGAAAGTGGTTCTGCTTCGTGCTTGCAAGTGGAGAAGTGAAATTCATGATGGAAATGTTGGGCATCCTTTCTAGTCTTGTAGAGGATTGTATGCTTCAATCTGTAAAGGACTTCATGCGTGGGGGGATGCAACTGTTTAAGACGTATTGGTACCAGTCAAGGGCCTACCATCACTATCTGTATGATCGTCTTGGGACATGTATTGTTTAAGTGAAAAGATTTTCTATCCGAGAACCCAGCAGCAATGAAGCTCTGCATTCAGGCAGGAGTTGACTTACTCAAATATCCAAGAGGAAGTGGCATTGCCAGCAGGAAATGCTTCAACCTTGAAGCATGGGAAGAAATGAGGGGAGGAGCTAAGAGGCTGATGAAGATGTATCCCATCAGGGCTTGTGGGTATTGTCCCAAACTGCACGTGCCCAAGTGGGTGCAGATGCAGCGTAATGGGCAACACAATGGCAGTCTGCTGTTCTTGATGACTTTACTTCACCCCAATAAGTTTGGCATGTTCCTGACACCGACAATCCACTGCAGAGGGAGCTGAGGAACTTCTACAGACAGGCCTCTGCAGTCGTAGAAATATGTGTACATACTGGTGCTTGTGTGCCGGAGCAGTACAATCTAACTATGAGGTTGGATGTGAGACTTCTACAAATGTTAGAGAAGCTGAAACGGTTGTTTAAGTCTCGTATTTCTTCTTATTTCCCCTTCCACAGATTATGCAAGATGTTTCAGATTATTGTGCTTTTAAAAGTGATTTGGAGAAATGGTATTTAAGGTGCCTTCCTTGTCTAGACATTAATTGTTTAGCGAGGATAGTGATATGATCTACTTGCGTGTTTTGTTTTGCAGGAGGGGATTGTTGACTTACTAAAATGGAAGAAGATCAAAATCAGACTGATTCTGGCAGAGATGAGGAAGAAGAACAAGTTCTCCTTTTAAGAACTTTATTCTTTATATATTCTGAGTGGACGAAAGTACCCCTTCCATAAGTGGTCGTAATTTTTGATTCACCAAAATTATTAGTTTGGGGGATCTAAAACTCTTGAATGCTGGAAAAAAATTGAACGAGGACTCCAAGTGCTTCAGGTGGTAATATATGAGGACCAATTTTGCAAATTTCCCCTTTTTTAAATACAAAAAAGAAAAAAAAAAGAAAAAAGAAAAAAAAGGAAACCAGTTTGTCATTTTTTAATCTTAATTCTTAATCTACTTCTCTTGAAAGCTTTTGTCGTGAATGAAGTTTCTTCCAATACTTGTGGAAATAATATGACGTCAAGTCTCACCATTGATATGTAGTAATAATAATAATAATAATAATAATAATAATAATGATGATGAACAAATTTGTGTGTATGAATTATGAAGAAAGTAGATTTATAAAGTTACAAATAATTATAAATAAAAACAATCTATCTATGCAATTGTATTGTTGCAGAATCATTGACAATTGAATGAATATTTACGATCACGTCTCTGCTAGATTTTAAATTATTTTCAAGTTCTAATAAAGAAAATTAAATATATTTAAAAATATATAAATGCATCTTTTTCATTATTGAGAATTTTGAATTTTTTTGAGATGTGGCTCTGTTTGGTACACATTATTTTTTTCATTCTCATAATTCTACTCATTTTCAACCACACATTCTTCAATAAAATAATATGTTTCATCACATCAATAATTTTTCCTTCATTTTTAACCACATATTCTCCATCAATCTACTATTAAAAAATACATTCTTTCAAAAGAATGTGTCACAAACGCACTTGTAGTCTTGGCAATCATTAAGAACCTAAATCAGTAAACTATGTTTTGGATATTATGTTAAATATCAATTGATGCAAAGTTACTAGTCATATTTATGTTAGGATCCGTTTGATAGGCAAAGATGGAAAAAAATTTCAATTCCATGTTAATTGGAAAATAAAAACCCACCAAATCTATATGAATTTGTTTTTCATAAAAATAAAGAAAATACGGTTTAAAGTGGTTGTACCTTGAAATTCGATTTTCATTTTCACGTTGCTATCAAACAGCCAAAATGAAATTCGTTTTCCTTAAATGTAACATTTTCTATGGAATTCGTTGCTATCAAACGAGACATTATTATTATTTAGGATTGTAGAAAAAGCATAACTAAGGAAAAGTTACTTTGGAGATTACCCATTTCGTCGGTCACGTTATAATAACTTGTTAGACAAATGCATTTAGTAGATTAGGCAAGAATTTAACAACTCAAAATGGGCAAGCCGAAACAAATATACAAGTTGAGTGGTCAAATTGAATCGCAAATATAAAGAGTTATTGAATTGCAACAAGTTGAAGTTAAGAGACCAATATGAAATAAAGTTGTAATTTGAGGGATGAGTAGTGACATTTTCCTGCAAAACTGTTTTCCCTCCAATGCCAGTCTTAAAACGGTTAAACCCTCTCTCTCTCTCTCTCTCTCTCTCTCTCTCTCTCTATATATATATATATATACACACACACACGTACATGCGTACGCACATATATGAACACACGTATTGAAACCTGATTTTTTTATTTTTGAACACAATCTTTGAAACCTGATTGAACACAAGACCTAACCTTTGAAAAAGAACCATGAATTCCTCTCCAGTGGGCACTATCAATAACCCAATTTTACCAATGTTTTGCTATTCAAAACCCTCAGTTAGTTTGCCCACAAATTTTCCACTTCAAAAGTTTAGCAGAAACTTACAGTTTCCTTTAAGAAACCGCAAAAGACTGCGTTTTTTCCACTGCCCACGAGCAATTTTGCTGAATCCCTGTACAAATTCAGTTCCTTCTTTTGACGAGAGCGATGACTTGAGCGATGACTTTGTTAATCGGGTTTTAAGGGCAAATCCTAGCCGAGTGGAACCCAAGTATTTGACTGGGAATAGATTGTATACACAAAAAGAAAAGGATGATTTGACGAAAAATGGTTTTGGTTACCGTTTTTTCAAGACATTGAGGCGGTTGAATTCGAAGGTATTGGTGAGTGAAAACGATAAAGAGAGTGGCGAAGAGGGAAATTTAGTAAAGTCTGAAGGGGAGGTTTATTTGCCGGATATTTTGAGGGAGTATAAAGGTAAACTTTATGTTCCTAAACAGATTTTCAGTTCTAGTTTATCAGAAGAAGAGGAGTTTGGTAAGAATGTGGAAGAGTTGCCAAAACTGAGCTATAATGGCTTTCAGAAATACTTGGAGAGTGATCAAGTAAAGTTGTTGAGTTTTAAGGAGGATAGTGGGATTTCTTATGGTTATAGGTATTTTGTTGTGGATTTGAAAGAAATACCAGGAGGAAAGAGCTTTCACAAAACTAAATGGTTAGTATTCACAAACTCGTGGAATCTATTTTCTTTAAATTCTTTGTTGATTTTGTTTTGTAATTCTTTCTTGATTTAGGGCGATGAAGCTTGATCAAAACCTGATGCAAGCTCTTTTGAAGGAGTACAAGGGACCACGATATAATATTGAGAATCATATGATGGTATTGAACCTCATTTTTTCTTTGTACTTTTGTTTTGGATAGAACTTGCATTGACCAAGAGCAAAACAGAATGCAATAATGAATATGAACAAAGTATGCAAGAAACTTTAAAAAAAAAAATGCTTGAATGGCATTTATGGTGGACCAATCTGGGTAAATTTTACTTGATATGGATTATCTTACCAGCTAACCAAATGGTAATGAATGCTCCATGCTTGTGATGTTGATCAATTCATTCATTTCCTACTAGTTTAAATTTTATTTGTATGATTGAAAACTATATGGTATAGTCTAAACTTGCTGTAGAATTGCTTGTCTACATCATTTGAGTTGGTTGACATGTCCTGAATCGAGTATTAGAGGGAATTAGTCTGCCTGATGCAATCTTGTTTCTACTGAAAGGTGTTATATTTTGACTGTACTAAAATCGTGAATACATTTTTGCATTCTGCTTCATAATTACGAAGACCTAATTTTCTCTATAAAGAGTTGGAACTTATAATACACCTCGGAAATTTTCTTTTTAATTTTCACAGGCTTCGGTTGGTAAACTGACAGAGTATCCTCATCCAGTAGCCTCTAAAATATCAAGTAGAATAATGGTTGAACTTGGAATGTTGACTGCCGTGATGGCTGCAGCGGCAGCTGTTGTTGGAGGGTTTCTGGCTTCGGCATTATTTGCAGTTACAGGCTCTGTCTTTGCAGCTTCTATCTATGTCATATGGCCCATAACCAAACCAATTTTCATGAAACTTTTTGGAGTTTTATTAGAGGTCTATAATAATCTTGATGTGTTACGTGAAGGGATTTTTTCCGAGTTTTATGAACTTTACACTTCTGGCGGTGCCTCTGCCAATATCGAAATGCTGAAACCAATCATGCTGGTACTTATGATCATGGTTCTTCTTACTCGGTTTACCCTTTCCAGAAGGCCTAAGAATTTCAGAAAATGGGTGAGTATTGCTTCTTAGAAGTTCTTATCATCGGTTATTGATGACTTGTTATGTGCAATGTTCCTTACCACTTTCTACTTTTTGCAGGATATGTGGCAAATCAGTGAATTTTGACAGTCTAAATCGGAAGCTCGTGTCGATGTTAGTTTCTTTTTCTTAATTTACTGTTTCTATTACTCTATTTTTTTTGCCCTTTATTACTTCTCTTCAATTTTTACCGCATTAGGCATGGATTGATAAACAAGTATGTTGGTTTTATACTTGAGAGATCTAATCCGACAACCATTTACCAGTTTAGATATGGATAAACAAGTATTGAAAAGAAGCATGATACAAATGTCAGGTGCCAACAGCAGTTCTATGATTGGCCCTAGAGAAAATTAGAATTTCCATTGGATGCATCAATATTGTTTAGGATACAAATATAGGCTTGCATAAGGTTCTGCCTTGATTCATTATTTTCTAGTCACGGATGAGCTTATGAGACATATTCAAGACGTGTCCATTGGACACTGAAAACATGATTTTAGTTGACGAGACAAGGAAGAGGATATATTGTAAGTAATTAGTAGCATGTTTGGGTATTATCTTTTTTATAATTCAAATGTTAATTTTAACTATATGTTCACAGCTACTATCCACTTATTATTCACACATTCCGTAGGACCCATTATCATGTTCATTCTAATCCCATTATAATTCTCCCAAACATGCACTTGGAATACGAAGTTTTAGGCAAAATATAACTATAGAAATAAGACCTTATACATACAATGTCTTTTTAGTCGTAAATCATCGAATCAACATGATAATGAATTGGCAAAAGTTGTTTAGGAAAGTGATTAATGCTTTAGGCATTTTGGTTCGATAATAAGGAAAGTGAGTTGATCGTATGCATAAAACCAAAGTGAATAGAATGAAATAGTTCTATAGGAATTCTACGTGGTTCAGAGATAACTATGAAGTTAAAATGCAAGTTCTTCGAAACAGTCATTAGACCAATATACTTTATGATTGTGAGTTTTGGGCTGTTAAAGGACACACATATCAATATCATGAACTTAGTAGAAATGAGAACGTTAAGCTCATGTATAGACATAGCGATATAGCACTAAAAGTGTATTCGACACTAAAAAGAAATTAAATAATTAGATACTTGGATTAGGATTATTTTCTTAGTTAGTTTAAATTTTTTAATTAATTACCTACGTAATTATAGGATTGTTTAAACCATATAAATGAGGATTAACTCTTTGGTTTAAACGCAGTTAGGTTATTAAATACAAACTACTCTCTCATTTCTCTTCTCTCTCACAAATTCTTCTTAATTTTCATAAATTGCTATTTGTGAATTTTGTACGTCAATCTGGATGCCTATCAATAAGTGTATTCAATGCGAAAAAGAAATTAATTAATTAATTAATTAGGAATTATTTAATTAATTTTCTCAGTTTCCTATTTAGATTAGATTTTTGATTAATTTCCTACGTAGCTTAGGATTGTTTTTAACTCTTTTGTTTTAAGCAAACTTTGATTATTTAATACAAACTACTTTTTCTGATTTCTCGTCTCTCTCTCTCTCTCTCTCAAGTTCTTTTCAATTTTCATAAATTTCTATTTGTGAATTTCTTTCACGAGCTTCCTAAAATGAATAAAATGAGAATGAGAATATATATATATACACACACACATATACGTACACGAACAAGAGGAACAAAAGCTAAAATTAACATGACCTGATGTGATTGAAAAGAGTAGTGAAAATGTTTTCCTGTAACCGGCTCTATGTTTATTGGAACTAAAGATTTTTTGCTGTTGTTGTTGTTCTTGTTGTACAGATGGATTGTTTTTTGGCCATCTTATCTGTAAATTGATTACTTGCCTTCATGGATCAACTGGAGTCACATTTAATGATGTGGCAGGGATTGAGGTAGCAGTGGAAGAGCTCCAAGAGGTAGCATTTAAAAACTCTTTATATTCTTGTATGCATTTGCATATTTGCATCTCATGAACCGATTTTCTGAACTATTGATGATTTTGCAGCAGATCAACGTCGTCATGTTGGCTGAAACTCTTTACACTTTAGCCAGTTTTTAGATTATGTTCTATTGCTTACAATGAAAAATAGGCTGTAATTGTAACAGCTTTTTTTTCGCTTTGTAAATTCTAAATGTAGTGTATTGATTTCATTTCATGTTTCGAAATTTTTTATCTGCAAAATCATGCAAAACTGTATCGATTTTGTAATCTTTTGCTGCTTGTTAGTTGGTAAGGTACCTGAAGGATCCAGAACTATTTGATAAAATGGGGATAAAGCCTCCACATGGAGTTCTTCTTGACGGACCTCCTGGATGTGGGAAGGTTAGTTGTCTTTTCTACGATGACACTAAGTTTTAGCGGTAGTTTCTAAAATTACACAATGCAGACCTTGGTTGCTAAGGCCATAGCAGGTGAAGCCGGTGTTCCATTTTACCAAATGGCTGGACCCGAATTTGTTGAAATTTTGGTTGGTGCTGGTGCTGCTCGTATCAGGGATTTATTCAAGAGAGCCAAGGTAACCCTTTTTCTTATTTAGCGCGTGATGATACTATGTTTTTTTAACATCTTTTAGACTCCCAATTGAGAAGACAGCTTAATTAGAAGAAAAAAATTAGACGGCACAAGGAAGACTTTTGCATTGTCTAAAGTTAATATTTTTAGATGAGATGGTTTAATGTAGTATCAAACCAAGCAAGATCCTGGCTTAAATTCTCGGCACTACCCATTTAGCAGGTGTCAGGCCTTTGAGAGAGGATGAATCTACCATCCACACGAGGGATTGTGTTGAATAAAAATTTAAATAAATAAATTTGTTCCTCTCTAACAACTTAAACTTTTAGATGAGATAGTTCAACACATCTTTATGACTTAGACCAAATTGACTAGTGGAGGTGGAAAAGACGCTTTTGATTCATATGGGTTGGTAGGAAACGAACTTAGTTTTATATGTAATGATGTTCTTTTTTTTTTTTTCAGGTAAATAAACCATCAGTCATTTTTATTGATGAAATTGATGCTCTGGGTGCAAGGTATGGGCTATTCAATGGGTTTATTGAACAAGTTAAATTTACTGCACATGTAAGCATGTGCTGTTAATATATTGTCACAACAAAAATTGTAACATAAATAGTTTTGATGACCATTTTCATATGAAGTTCTTGCTTGATAGTGGAAATTGAGAAATAAAATTGGCATATTTGAAAACAGTCACTAGTCAAATCCTTGACTTGAATTATCTGTTTCCATGAATCTGCAACAGAGAATGCAAATGATTTGAAATTGTAATTAATTTTTGTTGATATATAGGCGGCAAGGAATATCCCATGAATCGAAGGACCACATAAACAATGCACAAACTCAAGAAAGGGAGACTACATTGAACCAGCTGCTTGTGCAACTAGATGGATTTGATACGAGCAAAGGTGTTATATTTTTGGGTGCCACCAACAGGATGGACTTGTTGGATCCTGCACTTCTTCGTCCGGGTCGGTTTGATCGTAAGGTATATGCCTTATTTATGCATCTATTTTCTTGAACATGATTTGTCCAATCATTGTTTTTGTTTATCATTTAGATAAAAGTTAAACCTCCAAATGCAAAAGGAAGACTGGAAATCCTAAAAGTTCATGCCCGTAAAGTGAAATTATCAGATACTGTTGATTTGTCTAGATATGCCAATAATTTGCAAGGTACATGTTTTCATTTTAAATGTTATTACAGTGGAAGTTTACATTCTTAAGCTGTTACTTCTTTGTGGAATTGTTAAATGAGGTCTGCTTCAGGATGGTCGGGTGCAAAGCTGGCACAACTACTTAAAGAGGCTGCTCTTATTGCGGGGAGGAAAAAGCATATTGAGGGGGAGGAAAAGCACAACACAATTTTGACTGAAGATATGGACGATGCAGTTGACCGTCTTAGAATTGGGCCAAAGCGTGTTGGAATGAATTTGGGTGAACAAGGCCAAACTCGCCGAGCTGCTAAAGAAGTGGGGGTCGCTTTGACGGCTCATCTGCTAAGGCGTTTAGAGAATGCTAAAGTTGCACGTTGTGATCGCGCATCTATTATTCCTCGTGGAAAGGTTTTCGAACTTTAACGTTTCTTGATTTAATCATTGTCTTTAAACTAATTTCTTTTCCATGTTATTTTTGTTAGGAATATTGTACTATTGTTCCCAACCTATTGCCTAAGTAGCAAGTTGGTCATCAATCTTTCATTCTCAAGGACAAAAACCATCCAAATCTCCATTATCATCAAGTTTCCCTGATTGTCGTTATGAAACTAGATTTTGTTTCCGAAGCATAGTTCACGAGGGCCACATGATGATTTGACGGAGATTTGGACAGTTTTTGTGGAGACTAATTGTACAACTATAACAAAAGTTTGAAGAACAACTTGCTAATCAGGTTATAGGTTAAGGATGAATGCTGCTATTTTCCCTAGTAATATCACTCTCCCCCTTCTTGATGGAAGATTTTACATGCAGACAAAGTCTCGCGTTTTATTTCATAGTCTTGATGAAGACTCCAACCTCTTTGAAAGCCGGCCTCAAATGTTGCACCGTCTTCAGGTGTGAACTTCGATTTCACGAGTTCTTTTTCCTTTTACTCGTCTTCATTCTCCTCTTATCATTTATAATTGTGTTTTTTTTCATTTATGAAGGTGAAACTTGGAGGCAGGGCTGCTGAAGAGGTCATTTGTGGCCGCAATATTTCAAATGCATCAATTGAGTACCATGCTGATGCATCTCGGCTGGCTCATGAGATTGTTACTTTGTACAACTTTGAAAGATCTCTTTATGATTACAGTAATTTGAGTGCGCCTCCGTTAAACTTCAGTTTGGACAATGAAACTCGCTGGAGGACAGAAAAGTTGACTCTCAATAAGTATGGAAAGACAGTTGCTATGCTGAGAATGCACAGTGCTGCTTTGTGTAAAACTATTCAGGTCTGCTCGAATACACCAATCTAGTTTATCATTTCTCTACTTTCTCATCAAAAAGCTTGAGTTGTCTGAAAATGACAATTGTCCTCAATGTAAACATGTTTGGATCCATCAAGTTACTTATCTTGTACTCGATTTAAGCTTAATTGTATCTATCATACTATACACTTATCTTGTACTCGATTTAAGCTTAATTGTATCTACCATACTATACAGTCGTGTTCAGTTACTAGCCTGGGTATCCACGAGTGCCGATGACACTAATATTCCTCTCGTTTGGCTTGCAGGTTCTTCTCAATCGGGAAGAGATCACAGGGGACGATATTGAGTTTATCCTCGACAATTATCCCCCACAAACTCCCGCAAATCTAGTACTGGAGGAAAAAGATCCCGGGAGTCTTCCATACATGAAGCAAATGCAAGCTCAGAGTAACGAATTAGAGTACTTTATTGGCTTGATGAAGAAGAATGAAGCTTTTTGCTGATAAGAGCTAGCAATTTCAGTGAATCATATCTACTTAGGGAGGCTGAAAATAGGCGAATGACTGATTATTTAATTGATTCATGCTGTAGAAATTAGTCAGGTGAACTTATACAATACTTGAGCAGTTTCGTGCGTATGTGCATGCGCACTTACGTGTAGATAAACGATGCATTATATACGATGAAGTGTGGGTAAAACCCAATATGAAATGCGAGTTATCATTTTGCATAAATCAGTAATTTTGTATCTAGCGGTATAAAGACCCTCAAGTTCATGATAGGAAGGAAAAGAAATTCCATGAACTAGAAGTACACATTTACAAAAGAAGCTGGCAATTTTTAAATCAGATGTCAAGAATTTATATTCACATATACAGGACAAGAAAGAAACTTAACCAAATTCACCAGAAACACCTTCTAATCCTAAACCCACCCCTTGATTGGTACCGTCGTAGAGTCTAGCTTTACTCGTAAAATTTCTAGTGGCAAACTGCTAGTCTTCTTGATCGTTAACCTGATCGCTACATTCACCTATAGCCATCCTTGATGACCCAGAGTCGGTAAAATCCAAGAAACAAACAAGACATTTCCTTAAAATACCTCTACCACGGCACAAAATGACCCTATCACCATTGAAGATACAAATTAAAAGAAGGAACGAACAAGAAAATGTGAAGTTAATTTTAATCTCCACGAACTTCCAAGTTAAAGCCTCCTCTTTCGTGGTCTGTTGAAGATGACGGAAGCTTGCTTCCTGCTCTCATTTTCTTCACTTCTTGGCTAGAATAGATGAAAATCCTCTGCACCTTGTCACAGAATTCTCTGCAAGAAAATGATAGTATAGCAAACATGTGCTCATATAAAGAAGGACCATTAATATTTCTAGATGAAAAAAACAAATAATACATACAGCCATGGATAGTCACGCATGAGCATCATATCTCCTTCGTCATCGGTAAAAACAATTTCCCATTTATGTCGATGCTGAAGCTCTCCTTTTATTTCGAACATCTCTTCAAGTTCGCTTAAAAGCTCATCGTACCCCTTTAACACAGTTAAGTCCACAGCACGACCCACAGCAACTCCTTGCATTTGAACCTTCTCAAAGTATTTCCATATTAAGTGAACACATTTATTTTTAATTACTCTTTTAATTCAGTTAATGTTCAATTTCAAAAGTAGAAAATGTGACATTATACCTTAGTACAACTTCTAGTGGAGTGATTCTGTCTGCTACGAACCTCCTTTATTGGTATTTGTAACTGCTGCGGTTGATTTGGGATGCATCCTTCAGAAACATCATTTGGTCTATCAACTAATTTCAAAAAACATTTCTCGAGCATTGAAGGTCTTTTCAAGTCAATACCAAATAATCGGCAAGTAGCAGAAGTATCTAATTTCCTCCCATCATTCAGGCAAGATATGAGAGTATTACTCTGTTTTCTGGAATTTGGGGTTGAATGGTTTGAAAAAATAGACCAAGCTGAGGCACTTTTGCTTTCTTCTGTTTCTTCAGAAAACTTATTCAGAGAAGAATTTATAGGAGGAAAAGATAGCCAGTCCCTCTCTACATTAGTTCCAAAAGTGTCGTCGGTTCTGTTTTTGATGAGAGTGGCACTAGCGTCTATTTGTTCACTTCTTTTTTCTTCAAGAACATCCATTACTTTACGTGAGTCATGGGATGGATTCAAGACAGCTGATGCAGTTGAGCTCGGAGTTTCTACCACAGGAAATAGCAACAAAATTAACTGAAGCCATAATGCATAGAAACACTAAAAAGTTAGGAAAAAAGGATGTGCAAGGTGATCGAACCAGGAACTGGGACTTCAACATGCAATCGTGGCCTTTTATTTTTCGCTGCCAGTGGCTGAACCAGGCTCGTGGGAACTGACGCCACAAACGGTTCTATCTCCCATGGAGAAACCCTTTCAGGTCTTGGAATGGATGCAGGTTCATCCCACTGAACCTGAAAACACGAGGAGAACAGCATAGAAGTTTAGTATCTCCACGTGCCAATTTGATAAAAAAGAAACCAGCAAAAACACTAACCTTCAGTGATCGCCATTTCGAATCTTTCCAGTGAGGAGAAATATCTTCAACTCCTGTTATTGTACCTGAGAACCTGATTACTCAGGAAAAAGAAAAGTATTAATTGGATCAATTTGATGCCACTTGCAATGAGACTGATTTGTGAATATGAGGCAAGTGGCAACCTTTTCTCCGGAGAATCGTCGACTTCAAAACGCATCTTGAATCTCATGCCAACTCCGAAACTATGGTTTAGAGCTTCGAGATATTTGTTCAGCCCTATGATGAATTGACTTGCTCTGAAAATTTTACCACAGACAACATGTTTAAGTAGATATGCACATTATTTGAAGAAGAATTCCCATATACGGACCTCATTCTCAGTGTACAAAAGAATGAAGAATTTCGGACCTCGGTTTGTAATAAACAACAAAGAGGGTCTTGGTTGCAACAGCGTGAGATGCAGTTGCAAGCACTCCAAGGTGCATGCTCTGACTTGAAATCACTGAGGATGGCATGGAGCTCTGTTGACAAACATGATGTCTAACTCCAACATATAACTCCCCATTTGCTCCCCTATAATCAGAGTTTTGATAAGACAATAACAATACATAAGAAAAAGGAAAACCAACATGTCATCGTCGGTTGCAACTTCTAATAGCTGGAGAGTGTAAATTTGAATTTGTACCTCAAAAATACAAAAGAATCCCCAGCAACTAATCTCTTAAAAGTGACAAATGTACTCCATCCCGTTGTAAGCAAGTGCCTACTTGGTTTGCCTGTTCGAATATTGGAAGATATATACATGAATTTCCTTCCATGAAATTGAGAATTTGACATCAACATACTCAACTCACTACATGCCTATTTATTTGATCAGTATTAGCATAATGACATTCATGGTCAAGTAATATGTAATAAGACAAGCATGATTGGCTTAGCTTAAATTGTTAGGTTTTGCTACAGGTACACGGGCGCGCCGACCCCACGCCCCCCACTCACAATGGGGGGGAGGGGCATTATTTTACTCACCTCGGGCCCCCCTCATTGTGAGGGGGGCGGTGGGGTCATGTACCCGGGCATGTAAACGCCCGGGTACAAATGGCTTTACCCTAAATTGTTACGTATAAGTAAATAAGTTAATTACTTAGACAATAAGGTAAATGTTATTTTCAATATAACTTCTTTTACTCGAAAGTAGAAAAAATTAAGTTATCCGACCATCTTTGGAAACATAAAACTAAATTTTACTTATTTAATCTTAGCCAAACAATCTCATACCCATTAGTCTCAGCTAAATCAAAAGGAGCTCATAAGGAAGGTAGAAATAAAGATCACCTCTATATATATGCTTAAAGTGCCATTCAATCCCATGCAGATCCTTTGCCACAAGTTCCTGGCTCGGTGTCTGCAGGGTCATATCCTGATACAAGAACATATATAGTCAAAACAAACTAAAGATCAGTTATGATATTCTATGCCAACTAGAAATATGGAAAAGAAATTCAAAAACAAAAACAGAACTGATGAACCCCTCAAAAGAGGAATTATTACCAAGGGCGGAAGGCATTCATTCGCATGCTTACGGAGGACAGAAAATCCACCGTGAGTACTTGTATCGGAAGCTGTCAAAACCTTGCAGAACGAGTGAACTGTAGGCCTAGGAGGCTCTGGAGGACATCGATCTAGACTTTTTGGCTCAGTTTGCTACAAATAGTTTCACCCATAGTACACAAACTTTCATCGATTATGTATATTAAAAATTTGCACGCTTTATCCCTAAAAATTATGAAAGCAAGCAAATACAACAATTTTTCAAATAAAAAAGAAGCTAGACTTATTTCTTACTTCTACTTCTGGCAGCAGAGTGATTTGAGCATAAACCTCATCAGTTTCTTGTTCAGCCTACAAAACACACCGATATCATGATTTGTTAACAATTCTACAATGTAATTTACCACTGCAATACTTTGCTTGCCAATAGAGAGATAATTGTTATTACAGGGTTGTCTGTGATGTAGAATAAAGAGCCAGAGACAATAAACATAGAAACAAACAAAATTTTCTGCAGTTTTTACAGCGAGCAAATATAAACTAAACTAAGTTAAACCAACATTGTGGTCTGAGAAAGACAAGTTGGGGATAGAAGATGAAAGTTTATTGCCAAAATCTCACTAGACAGCCTTTTATTGCATCAATATACCCTTACTCCTTTCTCACCCACAACCCACTATTTTTCTTGCCGAGCACCCGGTACCTTCTTCTTACTGACCCCGAACCCAAAAGGCAGTTTAAACAACCCAGGATCTTTTTCACCTTGAGCATTAAAAAAGGTCTCGTGTAAAAATTTCTCCAGTAGATTTCGAAATCAACAAAATAATAATGAAGAGCAGGGTAGATAGGACCATACCAGTAGCTGAATGTTCATAACACTACAAAGGATCTTTGAGGGAAGATTGACCACTGGTATCCTCTGATTTAACTCCTGATTTATTGATGCTTCCAACTAAACAAACCCCAAGAATAGCACAAGTTTCAACTCCAAATGAAAGCCCATAAAAATTCCACATAAGGAAATTCAAGATTATCTTAATTTCAAGACTAAATTTCCATTATTCTATACAAAGATTTAAACTTTCAAGCACCCACAAAAGACAATATAGATGTGCTAAAATAAAATATTACTTACTTGTTCCATGTGACCTTGTGGAAAATAGTAAACTCTTTCTTTCCTTTTTGGAACATCCACCAATGGACCTGCACAAGCCTTCCATAGCTCTGGATACAAAACATCCTCAACACCAAACCCTGAAAATTCAAAAGACAAAAAAAATCATTTCCCAAACAAGAGCAAAAACACTTGTGTGGAAGAACAAAATAGAAAAATAATGATCAGTTTAATTTTAAATTTCTGACCTTGAGATGGAGAACAGTTTTTCTGCTGAGAAAATGACCTTGCCATGATTAAAGCGAC